CTTCTACCCCCTCTTGGGGGGGAAATGATGGTCCTTGTAATGGCTGCTCTTATCACCATCACTAGCAACCCGCGGACAGTTCAATTATACAAAAACAAAAAAAAAACTACCAATATGGTCCTTGTAATGGCTGCTCTTATCACCATCACTAGCAAACCGCGGACAGTTCAAAAAAAAAAAAAAAAAAAAAAAAAAAAAACAAGGCCGTCATTGGATCAATTGTAGCATTTGGGGTAGCAAATGTCACCAGCCGGCCGCGGGGTAGGGAAATTTCAAATTTTCCATGGCCTCAAGAGGTGGTAGCAAATTTTCTTCTTTTCAGGACTTTGTGAAGAGAGATTTTCTTTTAAACCACCAGTACCTGTCTGTACCAGTACGCGGCCGCGGGGGCGTTAAGGTTCACACGGGCTGTGACTTTTGGGGGCCGGGGGCCGTTGAGTTTTTTCATCAACGGCCTGAGTCGTGGCGCGGGCCTCCGAAAGTCGCGGTGAAGGCCCTGCAGCCGTGTAGTGGTGGAGGTACTGGTGGTTAAAAAACTCGCCCGTTCACAGGGTGAAGCCAGAGGAAATTCACGATGAATCATCTTGGAGTCTTGGACCTCAAAAAAAAAAGAAAAAAGGTTGAAGGATTCGGGCCTCGCACTGTGTGACCATGTGAGGCACCATTTTGGCAATGGGCAGTAAATCCCGCGTTCGTGTCCTTTTTTATTTGGTCCCGCTGTGTGACCGGGCGGGGCAGCATTCCCCCCAAAGAGGGTTTGCAAATTTTGCAGATTTTGCTGCGATGCCACTGCTGTGTGAGTAGGCCCTAAAGAAAGAAAGAAAGCTTCCAGACAAAGAGGAAATCCTTCGACAAACATTGTTCTGTGACCCCTGGACGCAACAGACATGGCAACCCACTGACCCCAAGTCGTCCTTCATGCTCTCAAATGAAACAAGCCTTGGAAGTTGGAATCCACATGGGTTCAGGCCGGGATGTAGTGCTCAAACAGCCTTTAAAGCACTAGCACCTTGCCCAGCCATTTTTCTACAATCCAGCCGTTAATGCGCCGCCAATTTCGGGGTTAATGCGCCGCCAGTATCGGCCATTCTCTTGGTATGCCTCCCAGATAGAATCCCATGGGCGATCCTTGCCCAGCGCCAGCATCATGCACTTTGTTTTTGTCCATCACAATCTGAGCTCTACAATACCTAGACTAGCGTTCCACCCAGGGGCTTTTTTTAAATTACCTAGACTAGCCAATTTCGGGGTTGGGCCACCGAAGCAAAATGGAAAGGAAGGCCTGCGCTGCTTCGTTGTGTTTTTGGTGTGCAGGGCGTTTCCAGCCTATTCCATGGTCAGAAAAATGTTGCCCAAAGGTACTGGTGGCTTAAACCGCCATTACCTTTCTCATACATCAGCCGCGGGCGCTGCGCGCCAAGGGCGGCCAATGTACCTGGCCGGTGCCAGAGGCCGAATAGGGCTTCCGTGTTAACCGCCACGTGGGGAAAGGTACTGGCGGTTTGAACCACCCGTTCAAACGAGCCTAAGTTCACAAAGCTTTACGTTCCAAGGCTCGCCGCCTACAGGGGTGCCAACGTGGCCTGCAGCTTTCGCTAGCGGCCCACAACTGACTTGGAACACTCTTGCTGCGTAAACCAGCAAGAGCCCCACTCTGCTCCGGGTGAACTGACGGTTTAAACCACCAGTAGTTGGCCCATACATCGGCCGCAGGCAGAAAAAAAAGGTCCGAAACGGAAAACAGACCGCCGATGAAATTTATCAACAGCGGCCTGATCCCGCTTGGCTTCCGCATAATGCAACGCGGGATTGATTTTCAAGCTGTTTTACGCGAGCAACGCAGGCTTTTAGAGTGTGGACAGAGAAGAAAGAAAAATCAGAATGCGTGAATTCGTTCTATTTGGCATTTTACCATTCAGTGTGCTAAAGTAAACAATTTGCCACAAATAACCAAAAAAGTTTTTGATGAATGGGTCTAAAAGTTGAACTTCGTACATATGAAGTGTTAATAAAAGGGAAAGCAAATAGTGAAACAAAGACAATGATGAAATTTATCAACAGCGGCCTGATCCCGCTTGGCTTCCGCATAATGCAGCACGGGATTGATTTTCAAGCGGGGCCAAGTACTGGTGGTTTAATGTGATAATAATGGGTACCTTTCATGGCACACCGTGCACCACAATTAGTACTCCAAGAGAGTAGGCGCTGGTCAGTCGGGGGACCGAGCAGTGATGTCGTATCGATATCTCCAAAGAGCACACACTACCGTCTTCACCCGAATAGAACGGCCGGTCATTATAGCTGTATATGGGGCAACTTTCAGTCCAAAAACAGTGATAATGACCGGGCATACGATTCGGGTGAAGACAGTAGCTTTCTGGGGACTGGAGGATGGGAGAGAAAGCTGAATTAGGTTCACGATGCATTGAGATAGAGGAACCAGGGGCGGATGACAGCGAAAGTAAGTGGAAAACAGAGCACAGGTAACCGTTAGAAGGAATCTCCTCAGAAAGATAGTAGTAGTAGAAAACGATGAGCAAACGATCTTCCTCCCCCAGACGGAAGTGAAGGACTTAGGTGCAGATCCAGTCGAGTGGGCCTGCAGTTTAGGGAATCAACCAGGGAGACGACATACCAGACTAGACAACAACCGGGCACCCCCAACCATATACCCGGGGACCGCGTAGTGACGTTTCCTCCTCCGTATTTTAGAAGCTTACCGTGGTTCATCCTATACCTCGTGGTCCTGATTCGCTCATTGTTAAATGTGAGGCGCAGGCAGGACAGAGGAGGACAGAAACCCACTTGAAGAGCTTCGTTTCGCCTGTAAAGAGGGACAAGTAGAAAATGTGCACCACTGCTTCCTGCTATGCCCCATAAGACGTCCTATTTCGAAAAAGGTAGCCAGGATATGGAAGAAAACACTGGCGTCGAAATTCTTAATCAGCCTAATCGGCCGTATATATTGCAGTTCATGCCTTCGGAGTCAGGACCGAGAGGGACCACTCAGAGTCTCAAACCCTGTCACAAGAAGTTTTTTCCAGAAAAAAAATGGTACTGACAGGAGGGGGCATTAGTCCCAGAAAGCGAAGCCTGAAAATTTGTGAAAATCTCTCTCTCTTTTTTTTTTTTTTTTTTTTTTTTTTAAAGGTTGCAGTGTTCTATGGTTAGAGTGTGCACTGTAAGAGAGTTTCCAGTCTCTTCCTTTTCGCTTTCTTTCTTTGTCCGTTTGACTTCATGTGCGGTTGACGTGTAGCATCGCATACCTTTTGTGACGAGAGCTTTTTTTCACAATCTCCCACTGTATCTTGCAGCTTTGCCGCTTGCTTGGACAGCCTATTCATCTCTTTCGCGACGTCCACCATAGCTGCCAGCGGTAGGTAAGCCTCTAGCCCTTCTTTGATGACAAGGTGCACAGCTTGGGAAGCCTCCGATTCTTATGGATGACACCCACGCGCCCCCAATACCATCATCACCCAAATTATTACAATTATGACAATGCAAAATAAAAGAAACAAGTCAGAGAAGACCACACCACCACCAGCACCACAGAAAGGCAAAAACCAGCGCACAATAACATGCTGGTAGTTCGTCCTTTGGGACATCATCACAGCCATCAAATTGGAACAATGATACAGAGAAGATCATCATGGCTCCTGAACTTTCAAGTATGATCGAATATTTTATCCTGTTACTTTTTTTTAAATAGAGAATATGTGAGTCTCTATTAAAAAAAATCATAAATTACGTAGTCTCAAGTTCTCAACCTGGTAATTAAACCACCAGTACTTCGCTCAGCTATTGATGCCGAGCCTGAAATCGACCTGCACGCCATTTTTTCCTGAGCCTGTAGTGGGGGGAAATTGATTTGGAACATTTGTGGGCTGGCACTGGTACCTCCCCTTATTCTGGACCTGCTGCCAGCAGGAGGAACGAAACGGGCTGTAGCTCACT